CTTTCTTCTTGTAATAAGTTATTACATTAAGTAACAAAGCTTGCTTTATTTTGTTTTTTAATTTAACTCACATAAGTTTTTTAGGATATTATTAACAACAATATCAAATAAAAAATTCCATATATACATATAATAACATTCCAAAACATATATTAAATTTTGTATCGTTTGATGGATTAAAAATATTTTTAAATGAGTTAAAAATAAAACGTAAGCCCCAGTTAATTATAAGTAAATACTTAGGAAGATTTAACCAATTATAAAATTAAGGAATATTTATTTTTATCTTTATGAGTCAGAAATAATTTATATTCAATAAACAGAGGGGTAAACCTACACAATTAGTTTTCAAATTTATTTTTGAAATAATGAAGAAAGTATAAATGTTTTAATAATATTACTAGGCAACGAAAGATTTTTGGTTACACTACATTATTTAGTTGTATTCTAGGATTGTTTTGTTTCAAAATCGAACTAGATAATTCATCATAAGTGTAATTTTCTTTTCCATAATAATTATTACATCTTTTGAAATGATGTTTATAAAGAATAGCATTTGAGATATTTTAACCAGTTATTGAACTATGGGATGTTTATTATATCTTAGTGATTGAAAAGATAAGTTTATTCAATTGAAAGAGGTAAACCAGCATTATCATGTTTGTGAATTATTTATGAAACTTTAAAAGAAATAGTAAATCTTTTAACAAAATAAAAAGGAAATAGAAAAGTAAAAAAAAAAAAGAAAGAAAAGAAAGAAAATCAGCAAAATTAAAGTTAAATACTATAATTTAAAAATGTATAAACTAAATATCTATGTTATCTTAATGCGATAAAAATAAGTTTATTGAATTGAAATAAGAGAAAACAAAATACTGTCGAGAATCATTCATAAAATAGTGACTGAAAAAAGTAGATATTGTATTTACAATGTTAATAGTGCAAACATTATGTTTATATTTTATATAATATTTATAAAATTCAAATATAATGTGTTATTAAAATCATTTATTGAACCTTTTATGGTTAATTTTTATAATTATATAATTTATAATCACAGATCTAAGATATCCTATCTATATCATTATAAATGATTATACACCTATAAAGTAAGCTTATTTCTTTATTTATATAATAAAATGTTGTCTAATGATAAATTAAAAATATATAATTGTGTATACGTAGTTAATCGTAATGAGTCCAACATAAAATGATTAAATTAAAAGAGGTGAATGAAAATATAGAAATAAAATATTTATTATTCGTTTTTAGTGGAGTTAATAATTATAATATTAAATAAATAATAGATTAAGGTTTTTAAAATACCACAATGTTCTCATTAATAAATTTCACCAATAAACAATCTTTTAATCAAGAAATAATTATGTTATTTAATATATTATGTAATGTTTCGGGTTTTATAAGCCATTTTGAGATATTTTAAGTTAAAACAACTATAAAAAATCTTTAAAAACTATGTAGTAATCTTTGGTAGTACTTGTTAACGATAATTATTTGTTTAAGGTTCTTATAAGATTCTAGCCCCATTACTGTACATCACATACATACACGACATTTCTCAAAGTATCCATACTCTTACAGCAATCTATGCAGACGACACTGCTATCATTACTAGACATGGAAATCCTACATCACTTACAAATAATACTCAATTGGTTTAAACTTTTGGAAAACTCAAATAAATTACCAAAAGTCATAACACATTACATTTACTTTAAGACCAGCAACATGCTCTCCTTTATACTTTTACAAAATACCGATTCTACAAACAGACAGAGTGCAGTACTTAGGCCTTACATTCTATAGGAGAATGACATGAAGTCCACATGTAAGGAAAAAACGAATAACATTAAATCTAAGACTAAAATTGTTTCATTCACTGTTAAGACGACATTCCAAATTAAAAGAAAGACTGAAACTAAGTATTTATACATATCTATTGAAACCTATTTGGACTTACGGAGTACAAATATATGGAATTGCAAAACCAACACACATAAAAAAACTTCAAACTTTTCAATCTAAGATACTACAACTAATCACTCAAGCACCAAAGTACGTGAACAACCAAACTTCACACATCGACTTACACGTTCCGACAGTCAATGAACACGTACGAACTACTATAAATGGGTTCATAATATATAAATTAAAAATATGTTAAATGGGCACTCCAACCAGCTGGTAAAAGAAATGGCCACAACTAATATGCGCGAGAACTCCAGAAGACGACTGAAAAGGGTCTGGATGAGGGATCTGCTTAAATAATGTTTTAGTAAATAAAAGCTATAGAAGGGGTACCGCTGGGTATTACTTTTCCTCATGGCTACCAAGTCTTTTTATTTTATTATTATTTTTTTCTGATGACTATGCCAGCACATCTGCTGATTGTGGATAGTTGTAATTGACACGTGCGGATAAATAAATGAAAGAGAAAAAAAAAAAAAAAAGGTTCTTATAAAATGTAATTTCTTTTACTTTCTTTCTTTTTATCACAATTCTTTGCTAGCCATTTACCATAGGATAAAACCATCTTTCTTGAAAATTACCTATGTCAAATAATAATATCTAATTGGATAGATAAGGTAAATATAATGGTAATAAACACTGTAACAGAAATTTTCAACATTTATTTGAACCAAAGCTTTAGTTTTGACATTGGATCTTGGTAAATGGGTTTAATTGTCAGAAAATTACAGTCAATCGGTTAATTATTCATGAAAAACTTAGGAAATTCTGACAGCCTATTTTGCATCAATAATAGACACCAGGGTTTTGGCAACAACAGATTTTTTTTATATATTTAAAAAATACAGAAATAATTTCTGCAAAGTTTTGAATTAAGAAATGACAAATTTCAAACGAGTGAATCAAGATTACTCCCAAATTTCAAACTTATTTTCTAAGTGAAAGTTATGTGGAAAGCTCTCTGAAACAAACACCCAGCCTAGCTCCATTAAAAAATGAAATGACAAGTGATTATTATGGCACCATATCATTTGAGGTCTAGGCATTAGCCTTCTCGTGTTTCGGCTGTAAATCTACTCATATCTGTACTCCCTTCAGAGTGTAAAAAGTTTATTACTTGTTTATGAGTTGAAAACTCTCACTATTATAATGCCCATAACTCGTACTTTTATCTTATGCATATGTGTTTTATTGCAGAGAGTTAAAAACAAAATATTGATTGAAAGCGATGTTTAATTTTATTATTTATTGATGATACTTTTTTTCCATAAACTACACATTTTTTGTTTTAATCTGATACATAATTTACTAAATTTGATTTTAGTTTCTTATAGAAAGATTACATGTATATTTATACCAGATCTGCACAAAAAATAATTTAATTATTATCAAAAGTATTTTGTATTTTAATTACAAAAAAACAAAATACAAATACTATTGCTAGCAATTTATCAGTAAATTGCTAGCCATTTACCCAGAGAAAAAAAACATCTTTCCTGAAAATTGCCTATGTCAAATAATTTAAAAATAATATCTAATTGGATATATAAGATAAATATAGTGGTAACAGACACTGTAACAGAAATTTTCAACATTTATTTGAACCACAGCTTTAGTTTTGATATTGATCTACGTAAATGGGTTTAATAGTCAGAAAATTACAGTCAATCAGTTAATTATTCATGAATGCAGTGATTGCTTAAAACTGTATTTTTTTTTTATTCTAATGATAAAACAAATTATGAGATTATAAAATAATACATATACTTTTAAAATAATTAATTGAGAATAAATTATTTCAGAACATTTTACAATAAAAGTGACTAATAGTCTCTAATTTATTTATATAAATTGAATCCTTTCTTTTCTCTTGATGAAAAGTACTTGAAAATATTATTAAAGAAATAATAATTAATGATTTTAATCCAATTAAAATCTGTCAGTCCACTTCTTCTTGTTTATTTAACAAAATATACTCTTCTGCTCTTTGCTATAATAAGTCAATGGATTTCTATGTCTATAGTAATATCTAATTGGATAGATAAGGTAAATATAATGGTAATAGACACTGTAACAGAAATTTTCAACATTTATTTGAACCACAGCTTTAGTTTTGACATTGGATCTAGGTAAATGGGTTTAATTGTCAGAAAATTACAGTCAATCGGTTAATTATTCATGAAAAACTTAGGAAATTCTGACAGCCTATTTTGCATCAATAATAGACACCGGGGTTTTGGTAATATACTCTTCAAAACAAAATATACTCTTCTGCTCTTTGCTATAATAAATTAATGGATTTCTATGTGTTTTTTTTAGACTGATCAATTTTATAGCATTAGATAATTGTATTACAAATTTAACACAATCGACTTTAAACAATGCCCAATCTCAATTTTCACGAGAGAAAATTCTCATGGTAACGTTCAATCATGCTATAATAGTAAAAGTAATATTTTCAATTAGGTAATTTATTGTATGTACTTAAAATACATTTTTTAAAAATTGTGTTATCTTGGAAAGAAAATACAAATAATCTTTTGTATTTTGAATTTTAAAAATACTGTTATAAACAATGTATTTTTTATTATACTTCTTAAAATATAAAAATTTTATTTTATATTTTAAAATATTTTATTTGAACTACTGTTGAGGTCTGATTTATATATACATATTTTAAGTTTAGATATTAAAATTTCCTTCATAAGGATTGCTTGAAGGTATTTTAATATTTGTTAGGGTTTGTTTAATTTTATGAAATTAATGGTAGATATTGTTGATTCAAAAATGTTTACTTATCGATTTTTTTAAAGGTGATATTACTTAAGACCATACAGTGGTACTTGTTGATCATGGGCATTGTGGGTTTCTATTATGTTTTAATGTAAATATATCACTGAAAATAAATGATATAATATTGTTGTTATTTTTAATCCTTTCTAAGGGTGAGTAATTACAATTTTGCTGTATGTCCTATTTTTAGTCTGTGTGGGGAAGGCATCGATTTGAAGATGGCGGGCTTTGCTACTGCGCATCCTCCAATCCGGACTCTAGGTTACTTTACTCTCATTCTACACGACGCCTTGTCGCCATTCGGCTCAGTGGAATATTTTCCTACGTCTCGTTTGCGGTTCGGAAAGCATTTTATTTGTTGACGAGTGTTAAGTTTTTTTTTTGGTTTTTTAAAGTAAATTTCCTACGCAGAAATGTCTTTTAACGGTGATACTGGTGTTGCTAAAAGACAACGAACTGATTTGGATGGTGTTCAACAAAGAGTGAGTATTATACTTGCCTTTATAACCTTTTCTATAGTTTTCAATCATGCCTCCTATCCGGCTTTTTACCGGCACGTTTTGAAAGTGTTTTGTTCGATTTAATCTCTGTCTCGTCTAAATCGAGCTCTCTTCTTAAATTTTTATCTTCGCAATTAATAGTCCCTTAGTTTTCCCAGGTGTTGGTTTAATTTTTTATCATTAGTTGTGTAATTAAATCATATTGGTTGAGATTTAAGTTGACTTTATAGCGAATTTTACTAAGATATTTTCAAAATTGATATCTTTAAAAAATGATAACAGAAGGTATAACACGCAGGTGGACCTTATGGGTGAGTTTTCAAGTCTAAAATTTTGTTTGAGACATGTCAACAACCCAATCACTACGTGACTTTTATGTTATATTGATTAATTTTTATAACAGCGATTGTTATCCTTGGATGCACAATGTGATATTTGTTAATTTCTATTTCAAATTATTATCCATTTTTAGACAAGGTTCTATAAATTTGAAATGATAGAATTTGACTAAATTTGAATTGTGTAGTACCGGTCTGATAAGGTTCAACAAGCTTTACTATTTCTGTGATAGTGGCTGAGTTGTAATTGTTTAAAATTGAAAAAAATAAAATAAAAATTGATATAGTGTCATTTGGGTATGATAACAAAGAAATTATAAATTTACTGTTATCATTAGGTGTATACTTTAGATAAGTGTTTGTTTTTATTGTAACTTTGTATATTTATTTTAAAATATCCTTTATTTTCAGGATCACACTGATGGCTACAATAAGAATTATGAACCAAGACGGAAACGGTGAGTTGATATTAATTTTTTATTGTAAAATTGACTCGTAATAAGTCATGCTATTAGTTTTGTTAGTACAATGACCTATTACGATTGGTGTTAATTATTACAAATTTTATTAATTTAAATTAATTGGTTGTACCCCGTTCTGTGTAGGTTTTAGGCTAGAGTTGTTGTTTTTAGGTTAATTTTTTTTCAAGTGCTCATCAGTATTTGGTTCCTAAACCTATTTAAACATGTGTGAATACATTTCCTCCAGATGTTTTGTGTTGAAGCTTTTTACAAGGTTAAGTGGTTATGATACCATTCTATGGTGGTTATAAGATAAACACGAATAAGACAAGACAGTTGTGGTGGTGAGTAATATAAAAAAAAATAATAAAGGACTTTTTCATCGTACTTGTTTTGCCTTTTTTAACAAATGATTTTTAAGAGACAGTTGAGCATTTTTTCATATATTTTCTGGTTATATCTATAGCCCATTGTGGTTGTTATAAAACAGTAATAATTATAAATAAATTTCCTTTTACAGGCCTGAGGCAGAACCGAATAATGTGTTATTGTTCACAGTCTTTAATCCAGTCTACCCAATCACAGTTGTGAGTACATAGTTAATTACAAAACATGTTTAATTTTTTTTTTTTTAAGTTGACAGGTATTTAAAATTTAATGGCAGCCAAATTCTTAAAAAAAAAAAAAATGAACATTATGAGTGCTTGAAAATCCTGTTTGATTTTTGTGTTAAAAACACTTTGAAAATTTAGCAATTGTTCAACATTTGTATATTTATTTTTCAATTCAGTGTGTTTAAACAATCTAATCCTCTAATCTCTTTGTATCTGTTGTTTTGTTGTGATATTGTTTACATTTAATTTTATGTATATGTTTGTATTGAGTGTTAATTATTAAATCAATAAATTAATTAATGATTTAGTAGATTTATTTTCCTTATCTGAATATTGAAGGTAGGGTTAATCAGATTATTTTGAGTAAATTTGAATCAATCATTGATAATTTAAATAAATTTTAATAATAGTACTAAAAATATTTTGCAAAATGGCTTTGATAAAGTAAAATGTGATTTAAAGATTCACACTTATATTTGTTAAGGGGTTTATCTGTTTTTTATCAACTAGGCACACAATGTCTTTCTCATTGAACTAAACGATTCAAAAAAAAAAAAATAATAGAACAGATACCAAAAGTATGGTACTAGTTTCGAATCGCTACTCCAAGATAGCGCCTGGTTTCAAGATCACTTCTAGTTCACTATCATTGGAATTCCGAGAAATGCCGAAAATAGCCGAGTATTGACAATCATGTTCGTATACAAATGACAGGTGTGTCCTAACGACCTATATTTGCCTAAAATGCTATTTCATGTGGTTCATGAAATTATATTCTTCCCTAATTATACGATGTTAAGACGCGTGTTTTATGTGAAAGTAGATCTACTCATAAATTTATGTGTAAACTCGCCTTTACAGCACGAATAAATACATTTAAAATATAAAATTAAATTTATATTGCTGTAATAAAGTTTCTATTTATTCACGATTATTTAATATCGTCATACATATTTTTTTACTGTTGAATTCGTAATAAGTAAATTTTAATCCATTTATTGTAATTGATCACCTCTTTATAAATCTATTGCTGAACCCCCCCCCCGTTATTGGATAAAAAAAAACGCTGCAAATTATTACACAATGGTTTATATATTTCGAAACAATTACACATCTAACATTACCTTCCTAGTTATAAAGATAGATAAATAAAAGGTGATTCAAATTATTGGACTAAACTTTTTTTTTTAATCATTAAGAGTATGCTAAAAAAATTAGCATTACTTCAGTAACACATTCAAAAACCAAAACAAAGAATATAACTTTTGCAGTAGAACGTATAAAAAAAAACTTGAGACCATATCTTTGCTCCTAATTGTCCGATTTCAACATTTTTTTTTTAGGAAATTCCGTAAAGTTTTGAAAAACCGTATCAACAAAAAAATGTATACTTTTTGAACTATTCGGAATCTAATTTTACCATCCCTCGTAACTTTTTTTCGAGCTTCTTTTCGTTGATGTGTGTTATATAGATAAATTTAAAGGACGTCGAGAAAATGTCTTAAAGGAAGTTTCATTGAAATCGGTACACTCGTTTAGGCGCTGCAGTCTATAGCAACGCAGTTTTTTCGGTCGCCATTTTGAAAGCAAAAGGCGAATAGTAATGTCGATAAAGGAGGATCATCCTTGGGTGATCTTATATCCAAGTTCGGAAAAAATCGATCCAGTAGTTTCGGAGAAAATGCGCGGACGGCGGACGGACAAAAAAATTTTTATTCTTTTTTTTTTAATTCTATTTACCCTAAAACGTAAAACCTCAAATTTTGAGAGGGGATTAGGTTTTAGATTTTTTTGGTCGATCACTATGGTTCATTATTGAAAATAATAAACCAAAAGTAAAACAGAAAGAATGGATATATTTCAACATAAAGAAGACATTGTATAACGAATATCGTTGTTTTATAAGTAAAACAATTGATTATACTCGGTTTAGTATTTCACTTCTCTTTTGTTTTTCTTTTTCTCTTCATGGTCTGATTAATATATTATATGAGAAGGGATTGGTCGGGAGTACGATAAAATGTAATAGTATATATTACAATAGTATTTAATTGTCCGCAACCCTCCCCCCCCCTCATTTGAGGGGGTTTCATGGCGCAAGTTGCGACACCAAAATTTTTGAGGGGGGCATATTTTGACGTGTTTTGGAATTTTTGAGAGGAAGGGAGGGCTAATTTCGAGGGGTGTATGGATTTTTGGACTGAGGGACAAGGAGAAAACATCGAACATACCACAGCAGTTGTAATTGTATATGATATACTATTTTTCTAATTCTAACTTAGCTTGCTCTGTTTTTAAGAAAATGTGAGCACTAAAATATGTTGGGAGAAAGGGGGAGAGGGGGGTTAGGGCTCTTGCGCCATCGACTTTGGGGGGATTAGTATGTTATATGATAACTTGGAATCTATGTGTAAGTAGTTCTAATTTACTTCATTTTGCCTTTTCCCTTTATGGTTACTAAAATCATACTAAAAAGTATTTTGTTGTCCTCTGTTTCTAAATAAAAAATGTAACCATGTAAAAATCACTTACTTATCATTAATGGCACCGACTGATTGATGTTGCCATCTGGTCGAACCAAATTGTAATTATTGATTATTAAACTCAAAACTCAACAATATATTTAACAGACGACAAATTATCAACGTCCATCTAAGACTTTGAGAACAGCTTCTTCTTATCGTAATCTACAAACATTTTATCAACGAAAATTCTCTGAATTGGGACGTTTTCAATCTGAAGATCGGCAAACTTTGTCTCTTTAATTAGATACTAAAAACGTATGAACATCCATTTGCTTTCCATATGAATCGTAAGATAATTTGATAAAAAAATGGAGGCCTACAAAAATATTGGCCCGTTTGGCGTGACTGATTGAAAAGGCCACAATTTCGAGAATTTTCGTAAATAAAAAAGTTTTAGGTTACGATGAGATAAGATGAACTTTTAAGCGGATTTTAATAATTTGATAAAAAGGAGACTGTGCCACGGATAATAACCTCTCAATCTCAACAACATCCAAATGTAAACATAAGAGAACGAAGAATATTTTGCTCTAAGATAGTCTAATTTTTATTTTATTTTAAAGTCGAATTGTGTTTTTTTTTTTTTACTGAGCTCATTTTTTATCCATAAATTTACTACGTTTTATTTGCAATATATCTATATAAATAAAATAAAGATTCTGTCTGTACATTGAATAGAATCAACCCCTTTTATGATATCTTTCCGTTTCATACATTGCAGACACCAAATCCACTTTAAAAAAAAATTTTGTCAGGGGTAAGCTCAACAATGGCTTATTGTAGACTTCTGAAATTTCCGTATTATATTAAGGATTGCTTGACTTAAAACATAGGCTTTAAATGAAAAAGAAATATTGAGTAGAACCAAAGTTATGAATTCTTAAGTAATTTGTCTAGAGATCTCGGTTAATGTTGATAAAAATGTTAATAATAAACGGTGTAAAGATGGTTGATCGGGGGGTGCGGTCAAATTAATACTAAATTAAATAAGTAGAATTATTTAATTTTTGCCGACGTTTCGACCCACTTTGTAGGTCTTCATCAGGGCTACTAAAGATACAAAACAGTGAAAATAAATGAATATAGGTAGATATAAAATAAGAATAAGTTGTCTGTTACAGAACTAAAAGATGATATCAGAGATATAGTGGGTGACAATGTAGTTAGTTCTGATGAAGACCTACAAAGTGAGTCGAAGCGTCGGCAAAAATTAAGTATTATTCTATAAAAATAAGTATTCTACTTATTTAATTTAGTGTTAATTTGACCGCACCCCCCGATCAACTCCTTCTCATGTTAATCATAAACATATATTTATAGGTTAAAGAACAACTACATAAATAAAATTAAGGTTTTGTCCCTACATTGAATAAAATCAACCCGTTTCATGATATCTTCCCGTTTCATAAATTACAGAACCATATCCACTTTTAAAAATGTTTTGTCTGTCTGTATGTCCGCATAGTAACGAAATTTTGTCAGGGGTAAGATCAGCAATGGCTTATTGTAGACTTTTGAAATTTCCGCATTATATTAAGGTTTGCTTGACTTAAAATATGAAAAAAAAATATTGAGTAGAACCAAAGTTATGAATTCTTAAGTAATTTGTCTAGAGATCTCGGTTAATGTTGATAAAAATGTTAATAATAAACATATTATAATACACATAATAGACATATATTTATAGGTTAAAGAACAACTATATAAATAAAATAAAGGTTTTGTCTGTACATTGAATAAAATCAACCCGTTTCATGATATCTTTCCGTTTTATACATTACAGAAACAAATCAACTTTTAAAAATTTTTTGTCTGTCTGGATGTCCGCATTGTCCAACGAAATTTTGTCTGGGGTTAACTCG